AGGCACGACTGAGGGGAGGCTGTCCCACTGAAAGAACTGTATCCTGAGCCTTCCTGATCCTGAATTATAACCTGTTGCCTCCCTAATAAACCCCAGACTTATGAGGATTGTCTGTGAGTTCTGTGTCACCATTGCAATGAATTATCAAACCCAGCAGAGAAATAGTGCTGTGGGAGGGAAGGTTGGTGTGAGAATTGGTGAAAACGTTGGATCGCGGAGGCATGTCTGACCCCCACCTCACAGGAATCAGTCTTGGACTGTTGGTATTGATCTTGATCCTCTTCCCCCTTGAAGTTAGAGGTCAGACAATGATGCCTCTGCCACACCCTTTTTACACTCTAAATACATTACATATCATCTTTTACATTGAAGGGTCAGCAAACTTTTCCTGTAAAAGACGAGATATTAAATATTGTAGGTTTTGCAGCCCACATGGCCTATGTAACAGGTATGCAAGTCTGCCATAGTGGAGTAAAGGCAGTCATTGATAATGTGTAAATAAATGAGTATGGATTGACTGCTGTGAAAGGGGTCACAATAAGAGGTCCCAGATAGAGTGGAGGAAAATGTGAAATAAAACTCAGATCATAAAAAATGTCCTGACTTGCTATGCAGACTGGTGGAACCCCAAGATTATGGCCTTTTGGACACCCTTCAAGCAGGAACTGAACTTGGGCCCATGACTCGACTGTAAGCTAAACAAGAGACAGGCCTGTAAGGAGAACAGGAATATCAGAAGGGTATGCACTCATTGGAATGATCGAGCATATGAGACCAAGAGGACAGCATTTGTCCAGGGATAGAGCTAGGCAGGTGGGAAGGCATGGAAAGGGAGGACGAAGGGAAGGTTGGGTACAGGGAGCAAGTGGGAGAAATGCTAGTACAGTGTGGGGATTGCAGGAAATGTTACAAAACAGAAATGTGTATGGACTATTGGATGGAAAACCAATTTGCTCTGTGGATTTTCACCCGAATCTCAATTTAAAAAAAAAAAAAAAGGAATAAATAAAGAAATAATAAGCAAGGCTCTATCCCAATAAAACTTTCTAAAAACAGGCCACAAGCCCCTAGAATTGGACTCACTTCCAAAGATTGGCTCTCAGCCCAACAGCAGAAAGACCTACACACAGAACACCTACCCCAGGGCGATGCACCCACCTACTCTAGGGAGATGCACCCCTTAGAGCAATCGGCCACGGGGCACCAGAGGGGGGCATTCTCATAGAGGGAAAGCTGGACAGACAGGAGCCCATAGTTAAGAAGGACACAGGGAGGGGGTGGTCACAGGGACGGGAGGAGAGGAGGGTGCGTTATGGTCGGAGATGGTAATCAGGGACATGAAATCAAATGTACACGAACTGTTGAATGTAAAACAAATTTTGCTCTGTGAATCTGTACCCAAAGCACAATAAAAATAAAATAAATAAATAAACAAAAACAGGCCACATGCCAAATGTGGCTTGTTGGCCATAGTGTGCCGACCATTTTAGAGTCCAATAGAAAACACAGAGCAAATAACAAATAGCTCATTCAAGATGGAATGTGCCACCGTAAAGGAGGAGGACTGGATTGTAGATAATAAGAAAATGAAGTTTTTGCCTTAAGCTAGAAACTTCAAGAAACTCTTTGAGTCAGAGGCAGTGGGGAGACAAAGGCTAGGGCTTGTTGTGGTTGTTATGTGCCGTCAAGTCGGACCCGACTCATAGTGACCCCTCCTTGGGTTTCCGAGGAGGTATCACTCCTTCTGAGGAGTGTCTGGTGGATTTGAACTGCCAGCCTTCTGGTTTGCAGTCAAATGCCTTAAGCGCTACACCACCAGAGCTCCTAAGCCTAGGCCAGTTCTTCTCAAACTATCTGTGCTGAAGGGCCCAATGGTGGTTTGTTTTGGTTTTTGTCTTTTTTTTTTTTTTAATTTCCAATCTGTTGCAGACCAATAATCCTATACCACACATTAAGACTGAGCCACATGTTGTTGTTAAGTGCCGTCGAGTCGTTTCCGACTCATAGCGACCCCATGCACAGCAGAACGAAACACTGCCCGATCCTGTGCCAGCCCCACA